CATTGTTATTAAAATGGAATACAAATACACTTAACGCTGTCAAACTGAGAAATGCATGTTATATTAAACATGTACATATGTAATGTGTATAATGAGATAGGTTCTGTAACCTTATATCAGTTCATATTAAACATTCAATATTTGGTTGGTCCTCCTCGTACTCTAATAACCTCCACAAGGCGAGTGGAATGCTATAGTAGCTGGCTTTGGGTCGTGGTTAGCAATTATCCGGCTTAGTTCTCAATGGGATTACAATCTGGAGACTTTGCTGGCTATGACAATCTTATAACGCCCTGCTGGTTGAGATGATCCTGTACAATATGCGCACTGTCAGCAGTGACATTGTCATTCTGGAACACATAGTTATTGCCAAACCTTGCCCTAGCATATTGCAGAAGTATTGCATCCATGTGATGCCTCTAGGATGCGCTATTGACGCTTCCCTGGAGAATATGAAGAACAGTTTTCCACAATGATGAATAGCTGCCCAAACATGTACTGCACCTTCTACTGTGTATTCTCTATGGGAAAGACAGTCTTCCCTCATCTGTTCTCTACGCAAACGACGAACACGAATGTTACTATCAGCTTTAACAAGCCGGAAACAGGACTCATCTGAAACGATAACGTATCGCCAATGTCCTAATTGTAAGTTGGAAAGCTTCTTGCCCAAATAACATAACATGGTAACAACGGTGAATTCTGGTCAACACCAGCTTGTAGATAGCCCTTCTTGCAAAACAACCTTGTTTGGTCCTATTCATTGTTCTTCTGGAAACCCTGGAATGAATGTGTTCATGCCCTTCCTGTCGTAAGGTGTTGCAAGACTTATTTAGACCTTGACGTGTTAACCTAATAAAAACACGGCCATTTCGGGCAGTAGTTTTTCGGCGTCTACCAGTATACTTTCCTGTAGTCCGATGACGTTTCAGGATTCTCGATACAGTACATTGGGGTACCCTACTGTTCTGGCAATGCCTGTTTGCTTCATCCCATTTCTGTACAGTCGAACAGTTTGACGCCCTATAATTTATGTCATGTGATGAGTCATGACTCTATACCAAGTACAGATAAATTATCTGAACAAAGTGTTGATTTCTTTCGAAAATATTATACCAAAAGCACACCCTTTTATAAAAAAAACTTACACAGACCAGAATAACAATTCGTACATGTTTGTCTGATCATATGCTACCTTCTCTATAATTACTCCATGCATGTAAACAATAACATCAGTGTAAAAGTGTGCGCAGAAATTTTGGCCAAGACTGTATTTTGAAAGTAAGTTTCTTTTTGTAACTAATTGATAATTGGTATAATTCCAGTTTTGTACTTTTTAGAAGAATTCTTGCCCATTTTAGTTTCTTCCCAATATCCACGTTTTCATAATTCACACATACAACTGTGTGTGTATCAATAAACTGAAATATGTAAATAACAAGGCATTTTGCAAACATTACCTTCACCACGTAAAATTACAAAAATAAATCTAAGTATACTAAAAAATAATAATTAATTTATACCTGTATATGGTAAACGGGAAGGACTTTTAGCAGGTATTATATCTGGTCCTTTGTCATCAAGCTCAGTAATGTCATCCATGTCTTTCTTCAGAGGGGCCCCAGGTCTAAGTGTAATAGCATATTGAAAAGCTTTAGCTTTATAAGGACAAGTTATCAAATTAGCGATTCTCAAGTTTAATAATTATGTTTGTAAAAAAGTGATGAAAAATATTTGATTAAATTTCTGAAAGGATAACAATACAGGGTGGTGAAAGATATTAACATGAATGTAGATAAAATGAACTCTGACCTTTAACCTTTAATAATTTCTCACCCAGAAAAGAAAGCATAGATTTCTAATATATTATCTAACTTACTTAGAAATTAATTATCTTAAACTGTCTACATAAATCAGAACTATAATAAATCCAGCATAAATAGTGTGTCTAGTTTAATATACCAGTCTAGCTAGGAGTATGCAATATCATAAAACAAATATTTATAATGATGAAAAATTTATCAATTGATTCATCAATTATTTATTCTTGCTGATATCCATATTTTCAGCCTTAATCCCAATTATACGCAAGTTTTACAATCTTAAGCTTCCAAGTTTAAGTTTTATCAGTTATTCGATAAAAATATTTCAATGAACCACAAATATCTATTATTTTTGTTCCCTTTTTTTGGTGGCATACCCATGTTTCCTATAACGTTTCTTTGCATTTCCAAGCCTTTATAAATAATAAAATTATTTGTTTCGCATTTTATAAATATTTCGTTAGATATTTTTTTCCGTCTTAATTTTTATTTGTATTAATATTGTTTCTTTAGTTTTATTCCCTCCTTCCTTTACATCAAAAATCACTGTCATAGTTGCCAACAACCATAACAACAACAACACACACTTAGGTGTTATAGCAATATACGTGATATTTGACGAATACTAGTCCACCTTTTAAAATGGATTAGATTTTCAAGCCACTATCTTTGCGGTTTAACAAACTGTACAAGTCTACATGCTTTTCAAGTATCATAGACAAGTTTATATATATATATCAACACATGGAATCAACATGAAAATTTGAGCAAATTTCTACTCATATACAATTTGATGATTAAACTATTTGTTCTATTAAAAGTGTGCAAGTAACGCGAAAATTTGGATTCATGAGTGAGTGAACATTTAAAGCTACCTTCGACGTTTTTGTTTCAATATCGTTAGAATTAACTTTAAATAGATTTGTTAATATTATTATTAAGTAATGTGTAGTGCTTTACAAAAGGGTAAAATAATTTGATGAATAATATCACTCGAAGAGTTTCAATAAAAGGTACTATGTTGCTGAAAGTCTCGAGACGACGTTTTCGGTCACGTTTATTGAATTGTTTAAGTGAGAAGCAAACTCAAAAGACGCCCATCGTAGTTGCACGTTTCTATTCTTCGTAAAGCAAAGTTTGTTCCAGCGCAAAATTACACAAAGGCTGACTGTGCACATTCATCCATAATTTCAAACGATGGACTAGAAGAAAATCAAGCTAGTCAACATCACCCACCGCCAACACTTGGGATACTCTTGTCTGGCTGAATAGTGAGATTTGACCGCCACTCTTGATATGTTTTTACTTCAAAAGGTCGCAAACTTTGAACCCTCTGGTTCATAGTACATGCACGCTAACCACTACTCTGCGCCAAACCCTTATACAAAAAAAAAGTTTAAACCCTAGCACTATGTTTCATCGTCGCTATGGATGACTCACGAAGAACCTAACCCCCCAATAAAAAAGACGATTGTTTTGTCGCTCAGAGGTAACCAATCTAATTATTATGTACACATTTAGCAGTTTCACTGGAAAGGAATTTTTCTATTTTTTTTACTATGTTAGGAACATATCTTATTTAGTATTTTGTGTAGCACCGTTTCTAAATATATATATATATAAGCGTGAAAACAATTAGGCTTCTAATAACACATCTTTTATAATATTAACAATATTAAAGTATTCCTCATGACGTTTCTTACGCTAGGGGGGTATAGCAATTGGAAAATAAGCTTAACAACAGTGTTTAGAAGTCGAATAATACAATTTAACACTACTGATTTGTTAAATACTTTAGATGTACAAGATAATACATCTTCTGCTACAAGAATGAGTTAATGAATGAAAGTAGATAAAGGTTGTATTCCTAGTATACTTAAATACTTGCTTTATTATAACTAGTTATGATCAGTTGTTTCAAATAACCTTCAAATGTTCTGATTGGTATAGTCTATCGATTTAAAAAATGTGAGGGCTTCATTGGTTAGAAACTTATCTTACTAATGACGAAGATTAAAGTTTCAGCGGACGATCGGTAAGTTCATGAGATAGACTGTCTTAACATACTTTTAAATGCTGACATTGTAGACTAGATCAATCAAAGAAAAAAGCGACTCTAAAAAGATAATTTACATTTAAAAAAATGTCACTTCACAAGTAAGCGACAGAAGAAGGAAACTGAAAGAGAGTTAGTTAATTATGCCATTAGCTACAAAAAATCGAAAGTCATCAGATTTGACAGACAAAACTTAAAAGTAGAGAATTTTGCGGTTTAGATTATGTGATATATATTTCATTATCATCAGCCGTGATGAGTATTAGCTGATATAATAAGAAAAAAAAACGTATTTTAATCTGTCACTTTGCGTTAAGATGTAAATATCAACACGATGCTACTTTTAAATGTACACTCAATGGATGATTATACCTAATGTTACCACGGCAACAATGTTCATCATCTATTCACTGCGTCAACGTTCTTCTTCTTTCTCATTGCCAGTGATATTGATCATACTTGTAGAAACATTAGATCCAACATTTAAAAAAGAACGATTTGGTGGTAAACACGTGTCATCTGAGGCATCTCTCAGCTGAATGTTAGTGCATACTGCTCTGTTGAAATGCTGAGCTTATAAATACAGAATATATCCATTAGCATATTCATTTGGGAAAGATGAATATGTTTTAAGGTATTCACGACTGTTGGAACATAACAAATAACTACGTACAATGGTACATAATACACTATCTCGTGTCCTAAGAATCATTAAAATGTTTACAAGTATCATTTGTTTTGTATATAAGCTAACACGATCACCTTTTATATGTTTAAGTCTCCTTGATTAACTCCTTTTTAACATCTGAAGCGTATGTACTTCTCCAAGCCGCTATAGGCTCTCTGTTCTTGTCTGTAAGAAGCAAATTTTTCTGGATCTATATAACTGAAGTATCATTAAACCCTGGGAAAGACCATCTGGAAATTCATGAGCCATCAAATGATGGACGTGACATATTCCATCAAGTCACGATGTTCTCCAGCGATCTTCCCTGACAGCATTACACCTGCGCGTTCTGCAGTTAACTAAACGCGTTTGTACTATCTACAGTTACGATACTGTCCTCTGAAGCACTCATCTCCTGGTTCAACAAGAGTAACCAACTGGAAGAATTTATTCCTTTCTGACGATTTTCTTACTTCAACTCTTTCTAGTGGTCACCAGGTAGCATTTCTGAATATCTGTTGGCTTATGAAAGAGTAAGTTTCGAGTTTGTTAATTATAGATAAATAGACTACGTTCTTATCTGTGAGTATTAGTACATGATTTAAGAAACAATAAAAATTGTAGGGTTTAGTTTTCAGTACTAATCACACCAGAATCGCTACGTATTTACATGTTAGTCCCCAATTAAAAAATAATAGTCAAGATTCTAAGATTTAGCTATTTTGGTTAATCACACCTTATTCAGGTTAATTACGTATTTACAAATAATTATTGGTCCTTGATTTTTAAAAATTAAAGACTGTGCTATTCATTATTTGGTGCTAATCAAGCTTTATTCAAAATCACCACATGCTTATATTCTGCTCCTTTGTTCTGGCCTTGAACGGCACGAGTTAACTTTTGACGTAGTAAACATTGGAATAAGCTATGTCTGCACTGAAAATGATCAGTTATAAGTAAGGAAACAAATTTAATGTTGAACGTTTAATTTTTACAGTTTCTTCAGTGATTCGGCTCTTCTTTAGGATCACATATCATACATTTAATGCTCAAAATCATTTTTATAGCAAGAGGTTTAGTCAGATACTTGATCAAAACTCTTAAGTTGTATTTCATTAGCATGCACATTAAACTTTAAAAAGACGAATACTAAAATATTAAGTAAAGGTATATACTATCGTAAGCGATATAACCGTCTATCCCACAAGACATTAAGGAAACAGGTGATTGTGTGAAGATTCCAGGGTCTTTGTACACTCCGTAAACACAGCGCGTAATAATTGCCCAATAACAGCTATAGTTGACGATTTACATCGGAGCTGAAATATAAAATCTTACAGAGGCACACACATGTTTCAGCTTAAAAGTACAAGAAGGCACTTGGATTACGTTAACAGCTCTGGGCGTGGTCTAGTAGTTAATGTGTCGGACTATGAATTTAGTCGCGTTTTTTTACAGTAAAATCATGCTCGCACCTTGTGGTCCTGAATCCGTTATAAAAGAAGCGATCAAATCCTGCTGTTAACTATACCTTCCTCCCAGTCTACCAGCGCAGATAGTTTGCGTGAAAATCCGAAACAAACAATTTCGCACACGTAAAAACTGAAGAAAAAAATGCCCAACCCTCTTAAATCTTCTTCACGTTACTTACTTTTCTGCTCCAGAACTGCTTCTTCCTTGTTCTGTTGAAAAGAAAATGGTAAATAAAATTTTGGTTTCAGTACATGTTTAAAATCTTCACTTCTTTCCAATCATTAACAACGCACCCATGTTATAAAACCGTTGGTTTTCAAATATTAAAACGCAGGTTAACATAAATTCCAGGTTAACTGAACGGTGAATCAAGTCAATATACATGGTTTCAACAAATTATATATATATGTTTTGGAAACTTTATACACTTCAAAGGGATAAACAGCATCTTGGCAAGGAGATAACCCCACAACTTATTAAAGTGCTAGATCGTAATTTGACTGAGGTAATCCGTAAACCCACGATATGAACATACTCAGTTTACCACACGTGACTGTGAGGAGATTTCAAGGTCTTGAAGGAAACAATACGGGAATATTTGTATATTTTCAGAGCATTAGTTGTGGGAACGTATTCAAAAAGTAATTTTTCAACTAAATGATTAATTTAAAGGGGTAAACATTTGTCTTTTGATATGAATTGGTAAATTAATCTATGTCTAAAATATAATAATAATCCAAAAGACTTTAATTATTAAATTAAAAACTTTGAAACTAAAGATTTATTAGAATTCTCAACATCAAAAGGGAATAAGTGGATAGACGTATTAAAATAACCCACCTTTCGTTCTTCGTTTTCTCTTAGAACGGATAAATATAACCAACACTAATGTGACGATGACCAGAACGACCACAATAGCGATCAGAATTGCTAGAAATGGGCGAATTATAATCATTGCCTGACCACTTCCTAGAAAACAGAAGTTATAAACGTACAAAAAATATATTTTTTTAACATTACATACAGTATATTCCTTTTCAACTATATTTTATGCCATTTGGAAGAAGGATAAGCTCCCGTTCTTGTTCCTAATTGCATTATTTTTTACAGAAAGAGAGACAACCAAACTCAAACAGAATTATAGATCTAACTTTCGTGATAAAACTTATGCTAGACTGCAGATATTTTTTTTTCATATTTTCCCTAATTTTTTATCTTTATAATAAATGTTTAAAAGCTAAATGTTTCAGTACAGTATGAAAAAATTAGGAATTAATAACGCGTCAAAGAAATTATGGCTACAAACGCCGAGTGTTGGATTAAAAATAAATAATATAAATAGTTCTTGAATAACTGATAAGAGTAGAAATTGTTAATGAACAAATATACGTATGTTTATATATATATATATTTATACTTTTTAGATCCAATACACTTCAACCTGCACTTCAACATTACTTAAGAAACACAGGTATCATGACAACATTTTCATATGTAACTTGACTTAACTGTCTTCTTTATTTGTCTGTAGCTTCAGATACATGAAGAAGAACATTGTTAAAATGGTACCTGTTTCACAATTGTAACTTTACTTTGTAACTTATTCTTTGTAACCAAATTAATGTTGCATCTTAATTCTCTTATAACTATTCCACTGATGTACGTTATTTCTGTTATCCAGCTCAAGACGTGTGTTGTATACAGCCTTTTGTTATGCCTTATTTGCCTGTTACAACTATCATGCTTTTATTCTTTGTTTTTGACGTCATGTGTTTGCATCGTGTTGTATTATTACACCCTAATGTTTTTATTTTATGTATACATCCAGTATTACTTATTAAACTTCAGTACATTGTAGTCCCAGAGGTTAGACACCGTTATACCTCTTTCTCAGTGTGCAAGGTTTATAGATTATAACTGTCTAAAGAAACCAGGTATCCTATACTCTTATATAAATCTATTTGGATACTTTCCACAATTCGATCTTATATTGGGACACCGTAAATCTTAATTTCCCTGTTTCCGCAATTACACCTTGCAGCAATATATAGGTATTTCATTTAATATAAGTACTTATATGTTGTTAATGAGTAAATATGTAGTATTTTTGACGATCTGATGTTTTGCTCTAAATTTGAAAAATACAAAATAATAATTTTTTAATGATAAAATGGTTTGCAGAGTTACACTCTCCTATACGTCCCTCTTCATCTTTCTAGAAATAGGTTTTTGCTTTTAATTTTTTGTATATTGCTACTTCATAATATGAATTAAATTTAAGCTTGAGTTAAAAACATGTTTATTTCAATAAAGTCTTCGTTTTTATATTGAGTCTGACATGATTATAAAACAGAAATAAACTTTTTATGGGAGATGATCTACTTATACGTTCAAAAAATGTACACTAAAAAATAAAAATAGATGTGTATTTTTTGTACTTAAAAGTCAGCATCTACACAACAAGCTCATGTTTGCAGTAGTTTTAACTATACGGATAATATTTCAGTGATAAAACATCGTTCAACGTTGTCTGCTGCCTAATACAATAACATATCCATTCAATGGTTATCATTTTCAGTTTCATCCAGTGTCTTGTCTTATTAAGATATCTCTTCATCTAAACATGTCTCTCTTGAATATGTATTTCAATATCACTAATTATAAAAACTATGTCCATACTATATGGTCTATTGTCTAATACAATCCCTTTTATATCCAACCGAGGGGCCTGTTTTGAAAAGGGCCAATCCTGATTAAAAGAATGGCTATTTTCAGACCCCAATACGCTTTTAAAAGCTGATTTCAAAAAGGAAAAAAATTTGCATCAGTTGCCATAGAAGATAAAGGTGCTTCTAAATATCCGAAACTAGAAGAAATGCAAAAAATCAAGTACATCATTCAATACATCACTCTTCCAATTCTTAGCTTCATTATGGGTCATATGCAGACACCCTATCGTATGTATCTACGGTTACAAGAATACTGTTTCACTGAAGTAGATAGAAAGGTATTCCAGGAAGCAATCCTTTCCATGAGGTGCAACCATGAAGAAGCTAACACCAGAATGGTGTGTCATGTAAATGAAATTACCAAGGAGAATCCAAGTGTCTGAGTCAGCGTGAGGAGTAACAATACACGTATTTCACAGCTGATTGGTCGCTTCAACCCTGCCCTATTAGATGCACTCCCTGGTTTTCACTAGCTTAGATTACACAAGTTTCTTTAGAACCCAAAGGTAGGCTAGAGCTCCTGGTCCTAATGATGAAAGTAAATACCCAAAGAATGTTTCTCAGAGATTGGGCACCATAATTTCATTCATCTAGATGTCGTCTCTGGCTTTGAAACATTTGTATATGCCTTGTCTTGAAAGGTCAAAATCACCCACGTTGTTGACGCCAGGTATGCCAAGTTCCAACAAAGTTATGCACAAAAAGTGTGAAATCGCTAATATATGCTATATATATGTATAAATAAACAGCATATACGTACTTATATTAAATTAAATACCTGTATACGGATATTTTTTACTCTGTACAAACAACCCTAAAATATTTTGCACTCAGTAACATGAATAAATGTTTCTTTACTCTAGGACTTCTATGTGCATACATCTTGCTAAATCCATACCAGCCTGCAGTAACTTTCTTTCAGTATTCTGCTGCATTTAGTTTGTTTGAAGTAACCTTGCATTATTTTATTTATGTAAATTAGTATCTCTGTCAAATTCTGGTGTGTTAAGTCTGTTATCTTCTTTAGGTATTGTGTTGAATCTAACTTATTGCGATATCCTAATTCTATTATCTTTTGCATTGAGTCTGCATTGCCCAGCACCTTAATTATCTACCTTATACATGTAACTATTGTAATTATAAAAATGTCATACCTTTTTTCTGTATGAATTCTGTTGTATAATATTTACTCTTACGAATATATGTATAAAATTAGACATAGCGTCAATTGATATGTTCATGTTTCGTCTCTCTTCTCTTTATGACAGAAACTTATGAGCTCGAGTCTGTCAAAAATATTCCATTTTATATTCTGAACTTTCTTATGAAAATGAAGATATTCAATATAATTCTATGTCATTCTAGTGATAGCGATTTAACTTATATTTCAGTTTAAACATATAGATTCGCAAGATTGTTTGTTTGTTGTCGTCGGTTTTTGTAAATTGATGGGTTTTTTTACGCTAATAAGAGCATATACCACTCTAACCTTTTCGAGTTAATTTTTCTGCGAGACGCAACGTAGAAGCTGACATAATCACAGGATAACTCCTGCCTTGTGCATTTGTGGCGTAGAGATGAAGGCGCAGAGCAGTTCCAGATGGAAGTTCATCTACTAGAAACAGTGATGTTTTTGATGAGATGTTGGCTAAGAGAGCGTTGCTGTTTACAGCATAAACCTCCAGTACAAAGCGCTGCATAATGCCACCATCATAGCCTTCAAGGCAATGCACAGAGATTAACTCTTCTGTTTGATTCAGCAAAGTGCAGTTGTAAAGAGGATCAGGATGGCCTAGAGAAAGAAAATAAAAGTAGAGACTTAAACGTAATGCTTCTGTCATATCGAAACTAAACTAATTCATATCTGTCAAAACAATGTATAAAATATATATGGTCATCTTACTGCTTCTTAGAATGGGTGCATTTTCTTTTAATTGCATTGATTTCCTGAGATGCAAAAGGTTTATCATACGAATCTACTAACTGATAATTTAAAATGAAGTCTTCAGGAAAATTTGGATCAACCAATTTTGAAAAAATATATAATTTTTTTTATTACTTCCAATAATGAAATATTTAGAGGTGCGTCATAACCATCTAGGTTTGTCTAAGAATGTTATAAAAAAATACGTGCAACACATAATCCTAAGACAAAACAGAAATAACAGGGTATGGATGTTTGCGTTCACAAATCGTCCGTAATTTTGGAATGTTAGAATAAAATGGAAGCATCTAGTCAACAGTACCCATCTCCAATCCTTGGTAAATATTATATGACCGAATAGTGGGATTTGACCGTCACTCTTATAGCGAGCTCACAGCCCCAAAGTCCAGAAGAAGGTTTTATAGCAACGGCTACGAAACATGAATAGTCGGCTACCTACGCCTGAATCCCGCCTAGAGGAAAGCTCAATAAAATGTTTCTACGTTTTTCTAACCTAAACTCGTTCGGACGAAGTTCCATTATAATATCGGGTTTCGTCCGCGAAGAACAAGCTTTTGTTGTTACGCAGAGGGTTTAAATAAGCAAACCAACAAATCATGTGACAATCACAGCCGACTTAAAATGTAGTGTAACGGAATGTATCACAACTACTTTTTTCCATTGTTTAGGTTTTCGTGGGTAGTGTGATGCCACTAAAAATTGAGGACCACTTACAGAAAGAGTATGCAGAATATCCATACACTCAAATCGTAGAGATGTATCAAGATCAGGGATTTAAAATTTCTAAAATGTGGATATCCCTTGTATAGAATGACATTGGAAAACAAAGTAAAAGGATCAACTTGAAAAGCCATGACATCGAGAAAGAGTCCTGGAGCAAGTCGTGGCTATGGTAATAAAGTGCGGCGTCTTGTAATAGATGATAATCTGCGAACACAAAGATAAACAGGAAAAGCTGACCATGCGTCCCAGGAAATGTACGCAACATAATGAAGAAAGTTTCCGTCTGATAATACCACATAAGCAACATGTGTATATGTTTCAACAATGTGATCGCACAGAGATTCATAGGCGTTGTAAATGATGACTTGACTGGTATCTTTTGTATGAAATAGCATACAAAAACTATTGCATTCTCCAGCTGCGGCGACTGAACAGCAGTTGCTTGTTATTAAGCACAAAGCTCTATAAAGGGCTATATGTGCTCTGCCCAACACGGGTATAGAAACCCGGTTTCTAGCAGTGTGTCACTAAGGGCGGGCGACTGAGCAGACATGTTGGGGAAGAAACATATGTACATGTAGCTTATGCGGCATTATCAGACGGGAAACATAGCTAATGAGAAGCATGCAGGGAGGAGTAGTATGCTTTGAGCTTTACAGCTTTATGATAGATCATTTTGCAAAGAAAACTATACTGCAGGGTTATTATGAAGGTTCTCAGTCATCAGACATAGCGGGATCGAACGTGGTTATATGGACTGTAATGACGTGGCGAGTCTCCAAAATCGCGCAAATATAAGGTACACAACCTATGCAGTCTAGCACGAGTAAGCTGGAATTTTATACTTTGCTCAAAAATCATTAAGGATAATATCTAATTTAATTTCTGGAACACATATTGTTGTAACAGATTACTTTTTGTTTTTCTGTAAGCCTTTTAATCGTGTAGCTCTCAGAAAACCTGCAAAAATCATGACGGATTTCCATTATGTCATGTAGGATTAGTTTCACTCAGTAATATTCAATCAGAAATTATGTAACACAACATTACATGTTATAGCCCAAATTTAACCACAAAGCTATATTATATAAGTCATTTATTGTAGTCATGCTTTGCCAATCTTGAAAAGGCGTTCACACAATAACATTTGTTATCGTGACAATATGATTTATATATATATATAGTGTTGTGTCCAAGCCAGTCTGGTGAGTTTTGTAGTGAGCGAAATTCGTTGTTGGTAACAGATATGGCGGACAAAGTGTGGTAGAACTGTAACGTGTTGTATCGTTAAGCAGGCTTTTTTGAATTACTTGGTGAAATTAATGCCAATTCCAGTTATTAACAACAGCGGATTTACTCAGTTCTTAAATAATGCTTGCTCTAAGCTAAGCTTATCTGTAGGCCTAACTTCAAAGATAACAATTCACAAAACGTTTAACAGAAAACTGAAACTAATGAACGCCTAAATCGTACGTAAACTTACTAATTCGATCACTGAAGAACAGACAAAATAATCCCCACAGTCAAACTCGAACTGAATCACAGACATAATGATTCTCGCTGTTTAACTGGCACTAAACTAACTTAATCATTGATGACTCATTAACTTCACTTTGATTTTCCTGTCTGTATTATACTTTTGTTTTAAATACTGTATGAAATTACACAATGGCCTTAACTTTCATAAACTTTCTAGATATATCATATGATCATCATGATTAGCTCCCTCTAGTAAAATAAATATATAAATTAAAATATTGAAAATATAGCCTAGAAAACTGTAACTTCCTGGATTGAACAATTTTAATACATAAATAAAACGGTACACCATATTGTACATTCATAAAGTTGTTTTTGGTGTATTTCCTCTTCTAGCGTTAAGGTATGCTGATGAAATGAGTTATTGTCACTCATCGTCACATGCTGTCCTATTTTTGGGGTGGTTCTTCCTAAGAAGGTGGTCTCGACAGGAACCGTGGGATCTTCAGCAATTTGACTTTCTGCTAGTAATTTCTTCTCTGAAATTACACAGCTCGCTGTTCTCCCATTGAAGAACTTCAAAAAACAATCTCGATAAATGACCTTTGGCTAGGACTGCCTATCCTTTTAGATTCTGTAAACCACATCATTGATTATTTTCAGTACAACATATAGTCCTTCCAGACACCTACTTAACATTAGATTTTATTCTTTATTGAGATGAGAATTCAAGCATATCATGTCACCTCGATGAAATCTAGTGTTAACATAATCGTGACTTTTCTATTTATCAGTAGCTGATATAAGTATTTCCCAAGTAAATTCATCTTTATTCTTCAGATCCAATAGAGCTCTTCTAACCACCAATCCCTCAAGATGTGCCAGAATGCTTGGTTCCATTATGTTACAGTCCCTAGATGACGATTTATTCCTGATGACTTCTGCTATGGGTATTTCACTTATTGGTGGTACAATGATCACCATCCCTTTTGTCACTGGATGTTTAACCTCTGGTTAGTAATTACACAGGGATTTTATGGTCATAAACTGAGAAGCTATTTGAATCTAGCCCAACCTCGCATCGATGTCTTACCTCTTGATCTTCTTTTCATTTCCTATATATTTCTTTGTGGTCTTATTTTATTTTTCTGTCTTCTTGTTATTTTCTAGCTTATTATTCTTAGCAACTGTATCTTTTCCCTTGATCTTCATTAGTTTTCTATTTCGTTTTTTTTTTAGTTTTCTGTTTCTTTCTTCTTGTTCTTATTTCAATTCTCTGTCTGTTTCTTTTTGAAGTTTTTCGTCTGTTTCACCATCTCTACTAAAGTTTCTTTCTCGCTTCGTAATGGGTTGTCATCCTTAAACTTTGACAAAGTTCTGTTTTATTTTCACCAAAATAATCCCATTTCTGACACCAGTGTTGTAATGTGTTCTATCTTTGGGAGGGTGGTTTTAATTAACTAGGAAAAATAAGTCCAGTCTACCTAATAATGACGAATTAATTTATTTCATCAATGACGTATGCTACAAGCTACGTTTATCTATAGTCCTAACTTCAAATACAACAGTTCAAATATCCATTTAACATAACTTATAAAAACCTAAGGAACACCTAACTAACAAATAAACTTACTAACTTGATCACTCAGAAATAGATGCACTAACTCCTACTGTAAAGCTTTACTTGAATTACAGACGTAATAATTCTCATGTATAACCGGCATTGAACTAACTCAGTTACTGATTATTCATTAACTTCACATTGATTCTCATGCTTATATCGTACCGTCGTTTCAAAATACTGCACGAAATTTGTAGATTCTATGAACACTTTAATTTTCTGGTACTTTCTAATTGTGTTGCATCATCATCATCATGTTTTGCGCCCTATAACAAAACAAATATCTAAATAATATGTTAAAATTATAGTTTACAACAATACTAATATACACTCTTCTTCTTGAAAAAAACCCTAAGGGACTGTATAAGGAATGCAGTGTTAAAAATCTTAAAGGTTCACAAATATATTCAGTGTGTTGTGAATCCAAGTACTGATTAGACTAGCTTTTTGTCCAAGTAGATAAAATATCAGAAAGGGTGTTTTTAGATATGTACCTAGTTGCTTTTACTTTGGAATATATCCCACTGCTATAAATTGAAGATGTCGCAAATATATTGACTGCGTGTATGAAAATGATAAATTGTGTAGTAACATAACTTAATTTAAGCTTTTTAATTAAAAAAAACTGTTCTGACTCCTGCTATACGAGCTCAATGAGTACTGGTGAAAATTATTACAAATCACAAATTTCCTAGTTTTAATTGGGTCTCCTACGATCGCAAATAAAATAAATTTTAAATATAATATTTTCATTTACAGCTTCTGACTAGTTGATAATATAGGCTTCTAGGTTTAGAGCTGAAAATCTGAAATCCATAATACATTTTGTTATGAGTTTATGGTTACTAGAAAAAAAATTATAGTAATTCTTATTATGCGCCAACAGAATATCGTTGGGGGTACATACAGTTCCCTGAAACTAATTGTCATAGAAACAAAACTGACAATACATTTTGACTTTACAACATACGTGGAAACTTTTGGGAATGTTTCTTTAAACGAAAATCAAGTCAGATTATTTCTGAGGTGTTGAACGATTCTTGAAAGATGATCTCTTGAGAATCTCCTCCCATACTATGTAGTTGTTACCACGCATCCATTATTAGGCTTTGCTAAACTCTAATGTTAACACTTTCAGAGCAGAGATAGTTACTATTTGAATTATCATTCAATTGTTACTGGCCTTGCTGTTTTTTAGATAATAACACAATATGTAGATAATGTTTGTCAGAGGAGTATTAAAGCATTTACGTTGGAAAAATAGAAGTAGGTACTTCATATTGGAAGCAACGGAACGTGTATGCATAGGCCCTCAATTCACAGTCTGACACATTAAATACTAGACCACACCCGGTCCATTTCATTCGGAAAGGTTAAGTTAATGATCTCCAGAAGCATAAAAATGCTACCATTTCAAATACAAATTGTTTTTTATATTTAATAGTTTTGCTACTGTACTAATCCGTCATGCATAAAGTCAACAAAATGCAATAGTTTACTCAGGGCCTGAAAATTCCAAAAGTTCTTATTTTTTTATAAGAATATTAAAATAATATTTTTAAACATGAAAGATCCATGCGACAATGCGTGTATGGTCTCTATATCTCTTTACAGTTACTATGTTTATGTGCAATCAAGTTATCATCATAAGAAAACCTTACTGGCGTTCAAGAAATAACTCAGACATTTAGACCCGCTTTATCATGCTCAAATGAAAGAACTGTAAGATATTTATTCTGAGCTTTTGTTACTTTTCTGGCACCAATTTATATAAAATAAAATGTCTAATTAAATGCGTTAGAGATTAAAACTTATATTAACTGTTACTGCTACAGTATTCGATATATTTGAAAGAGATGAGAAGACAGCAGTGGTGATCATTTACCCTGAATTTCCTGCTCGTGTTATTAAAAAAAATCCATAATTAAATTTGAGATGTTAAAAGATAGTTTCAAATATATTTGTTGGATAAACTGGGAAAATGTATCTATATTCGTCTAGTTTTTGAAGTTATATGCACAGGATTCCTTCCGTATGCAACTAATGTTTGTCTGCAGATAATTTGTAAAGTTTTGTTGTTAATTTCGTGTTTTTTTATATACATATATAGTACTTGCCTGCAGGAACTATATTAAAGACACAAGGTTCTCTTTGAATCCCTATGTTGTTTGTCCCCCAACAGAGAAGTTTTCCATAATCCTCATCCGATTCGGGACTATATGTTGCTCTACTGAGTGTCCGGTCAACAGAATACATGATTTTGTCAGACCGTTTATACGAACTGTTGAAACGCCAGTGAAACGTGACATCATCAGGATCAGAATCCAATTCACACGAAACATCAATGGGTTCGTGTTTGGCTACTCCGTACGTGATCTTTTGTCCGGGCTTACAAAATGGAGCATCTAAAAATTATGAAGGAGAAATAAATGCGAAAATGCTTTTACATTCTAACATGTTCGTTTCATACTTGTTAGAATTTAATTTCAAATGAAACTATTCAATTATAAATCTATGGTGAAATAAAATATTTAGTTTGGAATATTTTTACTACAAACTACAAATAAGCTTTGCACTAGTGGTTTTATATGTTTTTGTCTTATACTGATACTTATACTTCAAAAGATAACTTAATCTAGATGATTTACATATTTCTAAAGATCTGTGAAGGTTACAAAAAGGAAACGTACACTTAATCTTCAGAAATATCTCATTACTAATGCCAAGCCCTTGGTTATTACTGCCTGAACAAGTAAAGCGCCCTCTGAAGCTCCGCTGCACTTTCTGTAGCACCAGCGATTGGTTACTAATGATGATACCTGCTAATGTATTGGTTGAGAGATCCTGGCCTTCAAACTGCCAGCTTATTTCGTAGATCCAAGGGTTTGCCCGAACATTACATTCAAAGTAAACATCGTTTCCTTCTTGAATGTTCGTTACTTTCAGGTTGGTGCCAAGCTGAAGAGTAACTTGAGGTGGGTCTAAAAGAAATCACACCGTGATTTGTGAAACAGTCTTCTAAAATAAAGCTTTTAAACTGATCAAGATACCACTCTAGTAAATTTTCCAAGGGAAATACACCACTGCTAATAAAGGATCATAATCATAAATTTGTTTAGATTTTTCATTAAACTTGAATTTCGAAGAAATACTTTGATTTGTAATTTGGAACTAGTGTAGCTGAACTGTATGTATTTAAGTGTTAATATGAATTCCAATAACAAAATAAAATATAGACAAATGAACTAGGTTTTACATTGCACATCCAGTTTCCACCCATCTTCAACAGCACTTCCTGGAATCAACATATTTTCGGCACGACAAGAGAGATATTTTCCATTATCGTCTACAGATGGCGTGAAGGTAAGAATACTGCTGATAGCGCCGTTATGGAGTGCACTCTCTCGAGTGTTCTGCATTTGTTTACTTGCTTTCCACCACGTGATTTTTCCGGCAGGTCGCGATCCTTTAGCTTCACACGTCAGTTCCGTTTCCTTGTCAGCAACTAAAGGTTTCTGGAACGGTGTGATGACCACTTTTACTGGTTTCACTAATATGAAGAAAAGTAAACAATAAAGTTTCCATCAATAATGATTTCAACTTTATCATTCAAGCAAATTATAACTTCCCATATTCTTAACCTAATCGAACCGCCTATAAAATCGGATATATATAAAAAATATTAATAATCCAGACATAAACTTTACGATAATCGTTAATTAAAACAACGCCCAATGACCTACATCGCCTCCATTTTATAGTTACTTTGAAAATATTCACAGAGTGGTCACATTCTTCCAGATTACTTCTCTTGAGTTCTCTCTGGCCTTTCAAAGTTTCTAAACCTTCAGACGCACGTATGCTACACTGATATTTCAGTTTTTCCTAATTAAAACCAGTATAGTTTTTAACGTGACTATAAAAAGTAATAAAAACTGCAGAAAAATATTTTCAAATAAAGACATGTATTTTTTATTTATAAAAGAATGATTAATAATTAATATAGCTGAGTAGCATGGTCTGGGTGTGTATGCGAATACTGACATGAAAAGTGGAACAATTTCCCTGTTTTTTTTTACACCTTTTTTTTTTTTTAATTCTCTGATTTTTCCATATTACACAAGTTCGTGGCCACTCTAATCCAATGACAATTGTACAAAGAGCAAATGTATCTCTAGGATTTAAAAATATGCATACGATTAAGGTCAATAGTAATAGCATTTGATGCAGGTACTGTGATGTTGTTGTTAGACGCCTGGCAAGTCAGTACTGCCAGTAAGTCATGTCGGTGAAGTCTGTCAAGTTTCAACCGATTTTGAACTACGTCTCCAAGTTCAAACGTATAGCTATCATCCAAAAGAGCATAATCTCGCCACCAGGTCACAGATGGTCGAGGTTTTCCTGAAGAAAAATAAATAAAATAAATTTGCAAGCTGGTAAAAATAGGCTCCTTTGTTGTTTGTTTCTATTTTTTTATTATTTTAAGATTTTGTTAATATTTTAAATGAAGAGATTTAATTCAATTTAACTTGGAAATAAAAAATAAGTGAAACTGTTAATTTTTCGTGGAAAACAAAGCATTTGTATTATGATGTACACAAAATTAAATCACCTAAAAACTTATCGAATTAAGATAAAAAAAATCTACTTTTCTTTCTTACTTCAAAATTTAGGTACTTTGCTACTTATACTTAGTGTCACAACCGCAAAAACACTTTAGATTGACATTGAATAACCTAAGACTGACTACTGATAATGCAAAAAAAAAAAATTACAACGAAAATTAATTTCGCTAAACTTCCAAGACTTGACGATCTGTTTTTGGATCCTCAATTTGCACTGAATTTTCGATGTTTAGTAGTTAAAAAAAACAGGGTTACGTAATTACCCATCATATCCATGAATCGATTTCATTTTTCAAGGCTGCCTTTCCTCAAACATGGATATCATTTGTCAGTTTGCCAAAAGAGATGAAATTTTTATACTTTATATCCGTTTTTCAAGTCAACTCTTGCTACTCTTGATGTATATTAATAAAAAAACGTTATAACCGTATTTCTTGTAAGAGTGGAGATAAGACACTTAATACCGTTACTCGATGTAAATTTTCATGCAGTAGCTGAGCCTATTAAACTACTCGTGAAAGCTTGTACTGCCGCGCTATAGATGGTGTTGGTGTTGTTTTTACAACGCAAAGCTACACAATTAACTATCTCCGCTCTGTCCACAGGGAGAAATCGAATCCCGGATTTTAGTGCTTTAAGTCCATAAGCTTATGGCTGACTTACCAGAAGAATGTATCTTAGAACATTATAATTTTATTTTACATTAATTGCTCTTACTCTGACTTTTTGATTATAAGAATACCTCTTCTAATTTAATCTCTCTATAGTTTTTTTATTTTACATTTGTTATTGTCACGCAACTGGGCAGTTCCTTTGATTTCCTGTTCGTATTGTATTTACTGATTTCTTAGTTGTGATTGTCTTTTACCTAACTGCTGAAAACTAACATTTTTTAATTATGATTATCTGTGTTATTTATTTTCTAATAAAAATACTTCATCTCACTCTAGCTGTCATTCTGACATAACTGTTGTGTTATGCGCACGGGCTCTGAAGATGTGACACGAGATACAGTGATTATCAAAAGTGTTATTTGTAATCAGATGGTATTTTATTTCCATTTTATATAGATTAAACTTAATACCGTTTCTTCACAAGCATATGGATATAAACCTATCTTACAATGAAAGATCGCTTGCCACTATAAATATCTAAAAGAATGCTTCCCATACTAGATGTGCCAACTAGGAAAACAGACGTATAACGTTCGGTTGGATATTTGAAGGAGGCATTTTCTTCATGAGTGTTAATGCTGTTTCTGGTCCATCGCCAATTTTAACATCCCACACCAAGTAGAAGAAGGACAAGACATTCAATATTTAATCTAAATCTTCTTTACAGCAATTAATAAAAAACTGAGACAAAATCATAGTCACTTGGGTTTCGAAACTATATTTATTTGATTTTCCTAATGTATTGAATCTTTTCTTTTTTATTGCTTTTTAAACTAAGCTATCCACTAATAAACGTAAAGTATCTATGGTTAGTACTTAGCAGAGATATAGAGATGAAAAAGCCTTCATAGAAACCACGATGTAGAGATGAATTAGTCTCTATAGAAACTACGTAAGAAAGATATATTGGTCTACATAATTTGACAACATGTTGATTGTTTGATGATACACGTAGCTCTCGAACAGTCTAGGTTTGCATGCAGGGCTAGCTAACTTTTCAATAAGCTCATACCACGCGTCTGCAAAAAATACTCACCACCGCTAACCTGGCAGATTATCACGAGAGAGTCTCCTTCATTATAAGGTCCAACAAGCCCTTCAAGCTTTTGTCCCTGTTCATCTAGAATGATTGGTTCTCCAGGAGGAACTGTAGTAGAAATAAAGAAAACCTAAGATAAGAGAATAAACTTATGAAGAAAAATCTATAAAATGACGCATGAGGGCGTACAATATATATATTCCTTGTTAAAGCTTTTGATGAAGATATTGGCACAATATTTGTTTATGTACTAATTGGAACTTACTCTCATAAATTAATTTGGGGAGGTAGATTAAAGCTATCGGAATTCTTCATAAATACATTAGGTTAATTACATGTGTTTCTTATGATCTTTTATTTTTTCTGATAAATAATACTTATTCTGTGTTAGAGACTTGTACTTGTAATAAATTTATGGTTATTGAAAATATTTTGATGGAGCCCAAGATTTATTAACAATTTATACGTAATTGCAAACGTATTCTGTCGTTCAGGTACACACACATACAGAAAGAAAGTTACACAACACTCATTATATAGGGTGTTATGTTTTTCACATTGTAATTTTAACAAATAGTTTGCATCTTCTGATCGATTGGATCCATTCTTTTTAAAACGTATTCTTTTCGTGTACTAGATTGATTATAGTTAGAAAATGTATTACTTATTCACATAGTGTATTATCTAGTATGTAAATAATATTGAATTGAAATCCTATTTATATCCACAAACTGCCAAACTATTTTCTGAAGGAGTGAAAGTTAAGATTGAGTTGGGGATCCATTAATCCACGACTAATTGTTAGGATTTAGATTATTTAATCAACCAAAATAACTGTTTCTTGAGCGCTTGACAACTCTCATGTTATTAATAGAATTCAATAGGAATCTTGAGTTCAGTAAATTCCGGTTTCTCTTTTTATTTCTCTATAAAATTATGAACCAGATGGTTCAGCGATAAGCTTAAGCGCTAGAGTGGTATATACAGCGAAAGTAGCCCATTGTGCGACTATGAGCTTTTTTGTTTTCTAATTAAAACTCTACTACCAACGAAACTAATAAACAGACTCTGTGCTTTGCATGATAATCGACTATACTCAAGGGATCTGCTTAATACTCTGTTTGATAGTCATTAAAAGAAATCCAAGAGTTTTGTATCAGGAATTGAATGATATACTTAGTTAAAACACCTGCTAAGTACACAGGGTTGACCATTAGAATCCTTCATTGTTTCTGTTTTCACTTCATTATAGTTATAATTGTTTATTTTTACAATATTTCTACTAAAACTTACGTCGTCACATCTCTCAAAACTGCGATTTTTATCAAACTATTCTCTACTAATGAATGCAAAATTCTCTCAGAATTACTGTGCGTTAATTTATTCCAAAATAGTTAAATATAAATGAACTTAGAACATAAAATGTAAAACATGCATTTTAAACATTTCTGCAACTTTTACGATCATAGAGGTCTATTAAAGGGATTTTAGAATGAATAAACAAGGCGTTAATTAGCCTTTTCCTTACAAAGATTATGAAATCTCATTATTTCTTAGTCTAACTCATTACTCTGGACCCATCAGATCCAGGATATTTATGCAATGTGAAAAATGTGACGTTTAGGTTAACAGTAAAGTATGTCGTTACGATTACGTCAAGAATAAGCCATCACGTGATAATTACATGGGTAGTAAAGTTGTAAGACTAGAGGCATTACATCGAGTGCAGGTACTCTAGTTATAAGAACAGAAATAACGAGGAAACTTAGCACATTTTCTTTTTTCATTAGCTTAAAATGTGAACTGTTTAGTACGCCGAAATTTTCAAAATGAGTGCTTACAAGTTTTCACATATAGGCTGTCCGCTTTGAGAACTACTGATGTTATTTCATGTGCACTATTTTTGGACTTTCTTACGGGAGATGTTTTTGGAGACCTAGTTTGGATTTTGTATCTACTGTCTCAGGCTATATTGTTTTATTTCAATTGAGAAAAATAAAATAGGAATACGTCCTCCTTACTTTCACATGGGGCATTCACTGACGTATGTAGCGTCTACTCACCGAGAGTGTTGGTTTTATTGTTTTGTATATATATATATATATATACATATATATAGAAAATTCAAACCTCACTTCCTGTCAACTAGAATGACTAATAAATAATTATAACTGAACAATATAAGCGATTCTAGACGTTTTTAAATGTGATTTTTTTTAGTTGTTTATGAAAACGCTAATCACTTTTCAGCGTTAAATAGATGGAAAAGTGCTCGTTTTTAATTGTATTGATAAATCCAGTCAAAAGATGGCAGCACTTTGATAGATTAGGTACTTTCAATCACCTGCTTTCATTTAATTAGAATTTTCTCCTGTATTTCAATAATTGGACAAAAGTCCAAGCAAATGAAACCTATTTCATTCTCATCCTCAGTGAACATCGCAACAAAAACGCTGCTTTAGCTATTTTTGACGTTGTAGTAGGTGCTTGTGGGAAGCAAGGTACGAGCACACATAAACTACGGAATTCGTCCAAAAAGTAACATTTAGATATACATATAGATGAAAAAAGTAAAACTTTCATTTGTACAAAAACTATGGAAAATAACTCACAATAACTTAGAGCAAATATGATAGTTAGGGGTTTAGGCAATAAGTGCTTTTATGTGCAAATTTTGTTTCATTTAAAGTGTTAACTGTTATTCGTTTGTTTTTGCTGAAGGTATTTTGTTCAGTAGCTGACAGATGACGTTCCTAGTTAAAGAATAAAGAAAGTTATGAAAAACTAAGCACTTGAATCTGATGCGTTATCCCAAATATTATTCTGATATCAGTATATGTATCAGATATATTAGTCTCCATTACTATGAAATTCCTATCAGCGGTTAGCAGCTTTGGTATAACGTTCCAAGTGTTTTCATGAGCTTTTATCTTCTTCCTTTATTTGCCTCAAATTAATTTAGTCAGTATGTATATTTGTTTCTTTGATATTGAGTAAAAACTACGCGATGAAATGTCTGTCCTATGCCTACCAGGGGTATCGAATCGCGGTTTTAAACGTTAGCCTGCAGACATCCTTCTGAGCCATTAGGGGACAAAATAGTTTTTATATTACAATACAACAATGTGTTGCTTCTCTGAATATATATGTTTGTGTGTATGTGTGAAAGTCAGTATACTGTGTATATATCTAAACGTATATTAATATGTTTATGAATGTGTATGTTTGAAAGTTAATGTGAGTGTGTATGTATGCATATGTGGCTATATGTTTGTACTTCGAATCATTAATGAGGAGGTTTACATGATATTCCAGAATTATCAGATTATTTAATGTGGTATTCTATAAACTTTTCGGATATAATTTTTATTGTTTGAAATATAAACCGAACAAATAACCTTGCTAGGGGAAGTCATATAAAAGTAAATCAACAGCAGCTTAAAAATGCTTTACACAGTACAATCATCAAATTAAGAACTATTAACCTATGTTTCAGCTTAAATAAATAATAAAAAACTAAATAAATAAAACACGTGAGTCATTATCACGGGATTAATTTATGCAAGAAAATCTGCCTTCCCAAAACCCTGCAATTGATGACGTGATGGATTATAAAATATTCTAAGCTAATGAACATCATTTCACCAAACATTTATTAAACATAGAAACATAAACACAAGTTATAATCGTTAAAACTTTCCTGTACTACAACTATTCTCCCTCCTGAAGTAATTTGTCTAAAATATACATTTTAAAACAATGTGAGGTATTATATAGATATATACATATTTGGTAGCACCAACTCTCTACAACCATGATAAAAATCTCAATTTCGTTAAGAAATATTATGTCTAAGTTAACGTCATGTATTATAAGTTTTCTAATAAACGAATACTTTCTTATGATACTTGGGGAAAATGTGGAATACTATTTTTATTTTATTGAACAAAACCTATTAAGTGTATCGGAAAAATTAAAATCTGTGAGTAAGAAGAACACAATGATCATCATCATCCTGGCAATTGTTTGGGATAGAAAACCCGAAGTATTCGGAAATTAAATGAATTCCCCTTTGCACCGCTCGCGAAACGGATTATATGCCTGCCTTGCTTCTCGAGGTGAATAAAGAAAAAAAGATCAATCAACAGATCTAAAGAAAAGGGATCAAAGGGTCCAAAGCTAGAGAAAAATTGGGATCAATAGATCCACTGCCTAAAAATTGGTTGTAAGGGGAGGATGTAAATGAGAATACCCGAAGAAAAACCCACTTTCACTGGTCCAACGCTGATACAAGAAAATAATCAAATCAAAGGCAGCAATTTAGGAGTGAAATATTCCTCCAAAGATGTTCGGGGGTTTGGGTTCCTCTTCAGCTACCCTAGAAGTTTTTGAGCATAAATATTAGAATACGTACTATAAACTACTAGCAAAACCTTTCAGAATCAGACAGAGCCCAGAAGCAACAGACAAATCGATACAAATAGAGAACATTTGTTCTTCTAGCTAACATAATCATTTATTAGAAAGCTGCTGGCCCGGTATGGCCAGATGGTTAGGGCGCTCGACTCGCAATCTGAGGGTCGCGGGTTCGAATCCCCATCCCACCA